AAAAAACTCCGCATCGCAAAGTAAAGTCCTCACTCAATCAACAACATGAGCAGATCCCTCCCTCCCTCCCTCCCTAGAAACAACACGTACCCCCCCCCCCCCTCCCCTCAAAACCCCCAGCGCTCCCTCCCTCCACGACCGACATCGTAAAAGACGTGAAGCACATCGACTCATCTCCGTCTCCGTCTCCGTCTTCTCCGTCTCGATGTTTCTTCGTCTTCTCCCATATGGTATCGGGTGAGATTGGAAGCAAGAGCAAGAGCAAGAGCAAGAGCAAGAGCAAGGGCAGAAGCTGCCGCTGCCGCTGCCCATGATTCCTCTGCTCTGCTCTGCTCGAGTCGGTCAGTCGGTTGATCGATCGAATGATGTTTGCGTTTGATTGGTTGGTTGGTTGGTTGGTTGGTTGGTTGGTTGGTTGGTTGATAGTTGATGGATAGATAGATAGATGGATAGATGGCCGGAGGGAAGGAGGGGAAGCTTCGAGACTCCGGGAGACGTGGTTTGGACGATGGGTGGTGGGGTAGAGGTAGAGAGATAGATACCTAGATAGATAGATAGGAGTAGATAGATATCTGCACCACCAGCAGCAGCAGCAAGAGGAATAACAACAACAAGAACAACAACAGATAAACAGGATGGGATACAGTTGAGGTTTATTGATTCTGAGCGCCGAGTCGAGTCGCTTTTTCCGAGAACCGTTGGAAAAGAATCCGAGACTGCCCTGAGAGGAAGGGTGGAGGCGCTTGAAAAAAAAAAGGGTGGGGGTGGGGGATCGAAATCCGGTCTTTAACACTACTTACTGTAAGCACACTTGCAAGTCAATGTAGAGGGAGAGAGGGAGAGAGGGAGAGAGGGAGAGAGATCTTCATCGCAAAAGATTATCCTAAAGCGTACTTTTGGTATCGTGCATTCGATTATACATGGTCACTCAGTTACCTAACTACTGGCACTGTGTCGTGCCCCCTTCATTCCGTATCATCTTCGCCACAGCCTGCACCAAACTAATGGCCATGACCACACACCCAAACACCACACACGCAATCGCCGGCCCCGTCTTCCAACTCCTCGTGCTCAGCTTCAGGTAGCACAGCGGAGGGAGGATGTAGGCCAGAGCACACGCACTCGTGGCGCCGATCAGCTCGAAAACCGCTCCGAGGTCGCAGGTGATGAGACTGAGCGTCATGGCGCTAACGACAAGCGCGCTGGAGAAGATGATGTGCAGGTTCATGTTGAAGGGGTCGTCGGGGAACCAGTAGTTGAACATGACTTCGCGGCATACGAAGGCTTCGAGGGGGAGGGTGGTGAGCATGTTGAGGCCGAAACAGAGGCGGGCGATGTTCACCATGATGTTGTCGGAGGGGAAGTTGTTGAGGACATTGCCTTGGGTGAGAGAGCCAAAGGTGAGGAAGCCGGCCAGGGCCATGGCGACGCATGCTAACATGGAGATACTGGTGCTGTAGTGGGTTACCCGGGCGAACCGGTCGATCGTGGGTGTCTCTAGAGAACCATAGATCAGGAGGGAGTTATGATGGCAAACAAATGCTGACGTGGCATTAGCGAGCGTGTCAAAGTCTCCGGCCATCTAGATGTACGAACCGAAAGATATGACTCCAATGGCTTGAAAGATCCCACTGTTGATCGTCAACAGAGGATTGCTAAAGGTGCCCCTCGATTCTGTCGGAACGGCGAAGCTCTGCGTAATGACTGTAAACAGAATGACAACCATACTGATCAGCGCCAATGTACTTGCTTTTGCCAACTACTCTCATTAGCTTCTTGCCCATTCCATAGAAGATGCTTCTTACCTTAGCGATATCCCGGTACAAGCTCAAGGGATAGCTAATGCCCAATATGAAAATGACAATAACAGCCCTTCTGTTGGTCAGAAGCCCCAAAACCGGTACATCGCTCAAGCCTGGGAACACAGCCGCCAAAACTTGCGGGATGGAGTCCCCCACAATAATGCCAAACGCCACCATGCCCCCAAAAGCAAACGCCCACTGCGCGACCGAGATCGCAATCAGCCCCGATCGCCCAAAGCAGTGCTCCACCGTTCCCTGAAAGCTATTACTCCCACTCAGCTTGCTGTTGATCACAATCAAGCGTATCGTCCAGTCCACGGTGATGGTAAGCCCGATAAGCAGTATGACGCCTGTGAGCATACCAGCTTGCCGCAGTGCGTAGGGCTGCCCAATGATTCCTGCGCCAATGATCGAGTTTGCCATGTTCATGAACGCAGACCGGAGCCCTGATTTCGGTCGCAGCCGCTCGCTCTCCGCCCATTCGTGCACATCCTCGTCGCTGCCCCAGGGGCTCGCTGCCAGAGTCACCGAGGGCGCCTCGATATCCGTGAGCAGAGGGACAAAGGTTTGCGGGCGGGCATCGCGGCGCCCGGACACAGCAGAGTCGATGTAGGGCGGAGGGGCACCATTTCCATCGAGATCGGTATCTACAGCTGGAGGCAGGTCGAATCGCACGCGGTTGGGGGTTCGTGGAGTTCGAGGCTCTGTGCTTAGGGAGCCGTTGCGGCTCGGATGGACGACCAGGTCCTCGTTGTCAGAGGAATTGCCCGACAGGAGACGGCGGTCCTCCTCGTTGTCTGGGTCTCCTGTATTCTCACCATCCCTGCGGACGGTATTAATTTTGGCCTTGGCCATGATTTTATCGTGCAAGCATTGTGGTCAGCTTCGGGGGCATCGGAGCGGAACCGAAGATGTGTTTCCTTGAAGATCAGATCGCATGCCGTACCTGCTCGCTTAGGGCGGCCGATCAAAGACTATTTTCGGCAATGGAATTTCACGGGACAGACAGGCATGTTTACTTTAATTTACTTGGCATCAACGACGTAGGCAAAGGACATGGCAGGTTCCTTTCATGGTCAACTATTGTGTGGGCTGACCTCTCGAGTATACATCGCTACCTTCTGCATTTCTGGCCAGCTCATTGGCCCCCTTTCCAAGCATGCTCGCTATGCAAATCCTGTACTAGTGACACTACAAAATTGGGCAGAGATCCAAAGAGAAGCTCTTTTGATATGTTACACAAGTGGTCGACCGAGCCAAAATGGTGAGCCTTCGTAATGCACGGCTTGGTTTGCACGCCCAAGGGTGCGAGAATGTGACCGAAGCCTCGCTAAAGAGAAAGGGGGGCTACCCTCAAAGTGTCCGAACCGAAAATACAGTAGGCTATGGTAGGCGTGGCGAGAAATTTCGTAAGATGTGCACCGAATGGCGCAGAGGAGAAAGAGTTCGATATCCAACGATGATCAAGGGACCAGGATCAAAAGCAGAATGGCAAATACGCCAGGGAGGATACTGGTCATGAGACTTCTTGCATCGGCTTTCACGCTGGAATTCTCAGAAGGAGCAGTCGTATTTTCTGCTTGCGCAGCAGGTGGAGCAGCAGTCTCGTGGCCATCAGATCCAGCAGTCGGCGATGCAGACCCGGCAGTAGAGGAACTGGTCCTAGAAGTCGAAGAAGCTCCTGTTGAGTGTGTGTTAGAAGATATCATAATGCTGGCCTGACTGGCGCTAATTTTGTCACAGATCCAGTAGAAGACTTGGGCATACCAGAACTCTGGGAAGAAGTTGACGCAGTGGAATTCGAGGGCGTAGATACTGAGCCTCTGATGGGAGCAAAACCTGTAGAAAGTGTTAATTTATACATCACAAGGCCTGGTTTGCCTGACATACCAACTCTGTCCTGATCGACGTCAAACACTGTGTATACATTCTTCAAAAAGGTGTCACCCAGCAGCCAGTTCCCGGGCGTGACAGCTTGGCCAAAGATGTTGCTGGTACAAACTCCGTCGGCCGTCGGAGAAACCCAATCCTGAGGATCTACATTGTAAGTGGTATCACCAAATGTGAAAGTCATAAAAGTGGTCGTGGTACATGGTACTGTGTAAGTGACATTGTTCGTCGACGTAGCTCCAGGCACTAACGCGTGGAAAGTCTTCGCATCTTCCGGGGGACAGAAGATGAACGAGGTTCCAGTGTCAATGAACGCTAGTCTCCCCTCGATGTTGGACTGAGTCGTTCCGAAACCAACATTGCCTATTGGTATCGCCCAGTCTCCACCAGCATCTGGTGACACGGGGTTGTAGCTCAAAACACCGTCATAATTCAATTTGTTGAGTGCACCAAAGTTGATTTCTCCATTATTGACTCCATCCGAGGCTCTATTCAAGCTGACTCCAAAGATGTTCGATTCCAGAAGTTTGGCAGCAGCGAGAGTCTCAAGAAATATGGGGAAGGAACCGTTGGCCTGCGAGAGTCCAAGGATACCATCGATGGGGAAAGCGTGAAAGTCATCGGATGTGGTTGCTGCGACTCCGAAGGTCATGGGAACTGCCATGCCAGCAAAAGACATAGTATCCGTCGCTAAGTCTCCTGCAACTTGCCCAGTGCCATAAGATAGAGTAAAAGTGCTGCCGCTGGTTTCGTATGTTTTCGAAGAAGATGGATCAAAAGTGTTGTGGGCTTTGCAAGGCGATGAAGTACAAGATTTACCCATGACCCAAGTCGTTGCTGCACCAGTATCCAAGAGTAGATAGACGGGTGTATTGCTGGAGCCCAAGGCGACCTCTATGAAATAGGAGAAATCTGTTCCATCCTGGTGGATGCCAGCACTCATCGCTTGTGTGGGCGTTACAGCCTGCATGATAGAATAGTCATTTTCTCGCTTCGCAATTTCGTCCCTCTCGATTGCAGTGGACTGGGCAGGAGTACCACGCTGGTATTTTCTCGTTAAGTGTTGTGCCAAACGTCGTATTTTTTGTACATCGTGAGGTGACTCGTCCTGTCAAGGACCGTTAGCCAAGATAAAAGTATTTGCGGAGAGTTCTCACTTTTGGCGACCGCCGAACCAGCTTGAAGGTTGTTTCTGCAGATCGTTCCGCGACGCAATTACCCTCTCCAACACAACGATCGTTCGGAAACCATGGGTAGAAGGCTGTCACCGTAGACAGTACAGCAGCCGTGGCCAAAACCTTGGGGATCAACATCGCGTACACATAAACGGAAATCCAAAAGCTATCCTATCCAAGGAATGAAAAGGCGAGGTGGGTGGAAAGCTGCCCACTCGGCGAAAGGGAGCGAGTGAGGGTGATCGATGTAGCGAAGGCCAAAAGTAATCTCGATATGCTCAATGATTGATTGTTGGGGTCGTTCAGTGAATCCAGAATGTTGGCGATAAGACTGTACGTCGAAGGCGTTCCTGGTTCAAGACACCACCGAGAAGAGTACCCAGCCTCAATTGAGAGGGTATTATTATTATGATTAATACAACATAGAGACGACGTCCAGTAGTGGGGCAAGTCGAAGGCCGCTGAGTCGTCCGTCGACTTTCTGAAAACGATTCAATTGCAGGAAATGGGAGTACCGGTAGGTATTCGTGCAAGTGCTGACCGAGCGCGAACAGGAACAAATGCCGCCCTAAAAACAAGGTACAAGCCTAAGTATTACCCCTCGAGGGTGCCTCAAAAGTCTAGTTTCCACTTTAAAACCCCTGGTTATCCTACCCTCGAGGGGTAATACTTACGCCTGCGGCGTAGTATATGCTCTGCAGCCTAGTCGACTGCAGCTCTCAGCTGTGCAAGGACTCTGGAGCTCGTATCGTTGGCTGTTTGGATACTAATGAAAAGTGTTGGGGGGGGGACTCGGGAGACATGGGGAGACCTGCAAGACCTGCAAGATTGCCGGGCCAGCAGGTGGCCCCTGCATGCTCTTGGAGATACCTACCGGTATGATGTACTCCGTACAGTACGTAAAAGGTCGAGCACTGGATGCATCTACGAGTAGCTAGCTACAGCTACTACAGTACAACTATTGGTTTTTGCCCCAAAGCTACTTCCTACTGTACGGATCTGGAGTATTCTATCAGCGTCACCGCCACCACTACCAGCAATACTCACACTGGCTAGCGGCTTTCAATTATATCCTCATCAGGACATGACCATCACGTAAAGGTAACGTGTACGGAAGACCGACTCACGGTCCCATGGAGAAAGGCTTTCCCGACCGACGTACAACGTACGTAGTACTACGTACTACCGTACACTATACGACGTAGATCTTTCTTCTTTTGACTGACTGGGTTACCGGATGATCCCGCTTGGCAATCTTATTCGAACAGAAACGTTTCGCCATTTCTCCTAGAGCATAATACTATAAGTACAGTAAGTACGGACTACCTTCGTAGTACGTAAACACTAGTACGTAGAACCCTGGCCTGGTCCCGTCACAGTTCCCTGGGCAACGCGGTTAAGCTCTTCGCCAAGCCTCTACAGTACAACGGAGAAATCCGCCACAGCACAGTTCATCCTGCCTGTGATTAACCACCAGCATACCAGCACACCAGCACACCAGCACACCAGCAAAGTCCCACTATCCCACTCCACAGGAACAAACTCGCACATAGGTCAATGTTTCTCCGTCACGTTTGAAGGTGAGCAAGAGGCGATCGACAGATATATAGATGTTCACATTTGAGGCGTCTCCATCTCCATACTCGACGACTTTCACTGGGGACCTTGAATCTCCACCTTGCACAACGATGGTGCGCAGAAGTGCAGATGGCAATAGTGGAAGGCCCGAGGAACGGCTGAGCTGAAGACAGGAAAACCTGGACATCATTTGTAGGGCGACGAACAGAGGGCAGACTGCAACGCTCGCGCCCTGTGGCGTGTATGTTACATTCTGAGGCCCGTGGAGCCCAAAATAATCACTCAGAGACCGGCTTCGTTGTCAGAGGAGCGGTATCAACGTCGGCAACCCTCCAAGAGTAATACATAAGCAAGCTTCTACAGAGGAGTTAGCAGACGGTCCCGCAAGGTTTGGGCAAACCTGCCTGTAAGGCTTGAACTTCTCGGCCATTTCCTCCATTTCCTTCTCGCTCATGTATTTCCACTTTCCGCCTTTACTGCCTTTCAGCTTGCTAACATTCTTCCCTGCTAATGCAGCCAAGCCTCGCTGTACTCCGAGATCCCCTGTGGAAAACACATCCATCCTTTTCAATCCAAAGCAGGCGAACATCTCAACGCTCCATTTGCCCAGTCCCCGGACTTGGATCAGCTCCTTAAGAACCTCTTCATAGGTAGCAGTAGATAGCATAGACGTTGTAATCTCGCCTTTGTGAAATTTCTCAGCCAATCCAAGGATATACTCGGCTTTGCGTTGCGAGAGACCAGCTGTTCGGAGTACCTCAATCTTGGTGGAACATACTTGAGATGGAGCTGGAAACTTATGAAGAGAAACATCTGGTTGATCGGTATTGAAAAGCGCGACAAATTTAGCTTTGATGCTTTTTGCTGCCGCCCCAGAGACCTAAAGTGTGTCAACATTTGCCTCTGATAACACTCGCTCTTTGCGTACCTGCTGCGAGATGATACCGCTTGCCAGACTCATGAAAGGGTCTATATCCTCTGCGAGACCATCGGGCGAGAACATGTGGCAAGGGTATTTCTCGATTACGGGCTTCAGCTTCGGCTCGACCTTGATCAAATGGGCCACAGCCTCGTCGAGAATGCAATTGCTCGCAGTTGTGACCTTAGTCGCCTTTGAAGGGGAAATTTGGTCCATAGGATGATTGACTATTACCCGATGGGTCTCTGGAGTCACAAGCGTTGCGTTGGTTCCGTTTGGAACTGTGAGACGATTGATGGGCGGAGGAGCCATTCTACCAGTAGCGAACGGTGCTGCTATGAGTCCTACTGCAGACGGAGTCGGTGTCATGAGTGGTACATTATTTACCGCAAGCTTCCTCTTGGGCGTGGATGGACCTGAATTCTCGCCATTCGCAGTAGGCAAGGCCTCCATATTGGAATTCCTGCGCTTCTTAGACACGGTGGTCATCCTGGGAGAGACTTCCCTATCTGAAATTGTATCTTTTTCATTGGCCGAAGAAGCTGCGCTCAGGCGAGCTGATCTTCTCGTCGACATTTTCAAAGCACTTGATGAAGATGAAGACGAACAAATGGTCGCAGAGGTCCGTCTTGAAGCTTGCAGCCTGATGGCTGACCAGAGTAGATATGACGTGACTGAAATACTTGCAGATACGAAACGGTTTCGATTCTGGTAGGAGAACGTCGAATCTAGGAGCAAGCCAAAGAATCTTGACACTCCGAATATGCGTTTACGAGCTCGAGTGGTGGTTAGGAACAAGCAGGAGCTCACAGGCTCGGTCGTCCCATACATGCCCCACTTTAAAGCTAGCTCCCGCTTACTAGGCCATTTGTTCGAAGAAGTACCACCCTTTCTCGTAGATTTCAATATCATATATTTTTTGAGATTATTAGGAAGGGGAAATTATTTTTAATATATGCCTCCGGCTGATAGCGACAGGATTGCGAACACAAGTGTTGATCTCTTGCCCCCGAAAGTAGGTGGAATATCGCTTGCGCCTTTACCAATCAGGCTATATATCTCGTATACGACTACCCCAGGCTCAGATTAGACTGCTCCAAGTTGAACTCCGAACACTCTTTTTCAAGAGGATATGGGTAAATCCATCGACTATGGACCCTACGATATCCTTCTAAAAGCTCATTGCCCCGAACATCTTCGCAGCCGGGCCGTATAATCCACCCACGAATGAGATTCCAGAGTTGGAAAGTCTGGTGGCGAGACCTACACGGCAATATGATCAGATTCGAGTCTCTGTGACGAATACAAGTATATCCAGCATCAGAGCTTCGTCTGTACCAAAGACGGTGGATCTGTTACGGGCTTGCAAGCTCGTGGTCTGGGAGATGTGATTCCACATTTTGACTTTGAAATTCGTGGTTTTCCTGCGCACATGGAATTTCACCAGTCTCAGACCTCTGGCTTTGGCAATGTGACCCGCGAGCCTGGACTGTTGGACAGTTACGTTAGAGGGAGTCTTGGGTTCTAGTAAGGCAATTGAGACTGGTACGGCGTCGACTACAGTCCTCTGCTGACGATGAAACGGCCATGGATGCTCCTCAATCTTACCATATTGTTGGCGTCGACCTTCAATCCACGGGGAAAATTAGGTTATGTTCTAAAAAAACCAGCTCCATGGCTCTAGCATTTGCTGATTGGAACAGTTGCCCAGTTCGTCCAGATATACCTTCGCGCAAATTTCAAATTCCCCACTGATCACGCCGAATGCAGAGCCCTCCAGACACCTTTGCCAATGAGTAGGTTCGAATCTAACCCCAAGACTTTTGCGCTTCTGCGATAGAGTAGCCATTGAGCCCAACTCTCATTCCGACCGAGTTGTTTCGTCAGTTGCATTCTCTCTTCACGTCTGCTTTTTGAAAAAACCAGCGTCCCAGAAGCTCCTCGCTCATGTCATCGTTGACTAGACCATGAGCCGCAATGAATTGGGGTAAGGACTTCGTGGTTGGACCAGAAAAGCCCTTTAACATATTTGAGCATTGAACTATTGATGGCGTGCTGCCTTCCTGGACTCATTCATGCAACATTCTTCAGGACTCATCCCTCATGTGCCTAGCAACGTCTCTGACCCGTGGCGACCCTTTAATTATAGACATCCTCAATATCAAAGCATCAGGGCCACGATCCGCTGCCTCGACTTTAGCCCCATTCTCATCTCAGTGCGGCCTGAGAATCTCGATAGACGCCGAGACGAGTCATGCATATATCTTATGAGCTTCGTATTTGGAAGTATGTTCCCCTTAGCACCAACCTGTATCACTACACAAAGTAAGCAAGAATGTGATAATAACCTACTAGATTCGTCATGGCTATACATAAATAATGCAAGATTTTCCAAAAGGTGTTTTCTTCATGGAGGAAGATAAAAAGTTGGCGACGAAAGCCTTTTAAAGTACAAAACAAGCATTGATAATCGCTGCAAAGCATAATGCCTCGTAAAGGAGGCAAAGTAAGAATTTTAGCATACACAGTAGCGTGAATTTTAACAGGGGAGAAGGGGGGTCAAAGCAAGCAAAAGTGAAGAGGAAGAGCAAAATTAGATATAATTATAACATGGCTGCAAAACTGCTATCATAACAGCCAAAGCGAAGAGCACGGAACTTGTAGTGATATTAGGGTCTAGAAGCAATCATCCGATCTTTGCGAGCAGGTCCACACGTGACTAGACCCCCTTTTTCAACGGCGTGTGGCACTGACGGCTCCAGGCACCAGGCACCATCTCAACAGTAGCGGACATTGGCCGGAAAAGCATTGAAATCCCAGCAAACTCGAGAGCAACCCGAAAATTACTCTGTATTGAATTGATGGTTTTGGCAGGATCTGAAAGATCTTGGAGATGAGATAGACGAGACGTTAATCAGCGCGCTTATCTCCCGCGACGGTGCCCTTACTATTTCCAGAGGGTCAACCATCCATCCCTACTCCTACTTCTGAACCGCCTTCGCGACTTTAATCAACTTTTCCGTCTTCACCTGCTCAACCTCCTCCGTCCCCAAACCGATCGAAGCCCGCTCTCGGACTCCCTCGACACCATTTTGCGGTGGGGCATTCAGCTTATCGGGTCGAATTGATCGCATCTCCCCAGTTCGTGGTGCTGCAGCCACCGGGCTTCCGTCGCCATGCTTCTCCCGAAAGGCGGCGTTACTTGGAAGTCTGCGAGGGCTCAGATGCCTCCCCCGAGGGCGATATGGGTCTTTCTTTCACGAACACGGTTCCTGCTGTGTGTAGCACTGGCGGGGATCTGCGTGCTGTTATGGAGAGGAGTGAGCACATCAGCATCGGAAATGCAGAGGTCAGTTCTGGGCCGCAGATCTTATTCAGGACGAATTTTTTCTGACAGAGTCGCAGATTCTACTGCTGGGGCCCGTCGAAACCCCCAATGCAGATGACCCCGAATGAAGCTGTCGATTGGCATGCGCATTTACAGACGCCGGTCATATTTAACCACCACGAACCCCTGGTGATAAACTCATCTACGATCAAACGAGTCGATCTCAACCCGATTAAGTCTACACCAAAGTCGGTAGCAAACGAGGAAAGGGTGCTGATATTGACTCCCTTGCGAGACGCATCGCCCTATCTCCCTAAATATTTCGACCTCCTCTCCGAGTTGTCGTATCCCCACCACCTGATAGACCTCGGATTCCTGGTTGGCGACTCCTCCGATGACACCCTCGCAATTCTGGCTGCCGAACTCGCGCGGATTCAGAAGACCACTGACAACTTGAATGAGCCATTCAACAGCGTTTTGGTTGTGGAGAAGGATTTCGGTATCATCACTGCCCAAACTGTGGAGGAGCGACACGGGTTTGCGGCCCAGGGGCCAAGGAGGAAGAATATGGCGAGAGCCCGAAACTATCTTCTCTCTGCAGCTTTGAAGCCCGAACACTCTTGGGTGTATTGGAGAGATGTGGATATCGTGGACAGCCCAAAGAAGATCCTCGAGGACTTCACGGCACATAACAGAGATATCTTGGTTCCCAGTATGTTGTGTCAAGCTCAGAAAAAATTAACAAGCTAATATGGGTAGATGTCTGGTTCCATCGCTACAAGGATGGTAAGGACATTGAGGGTAGATGTGAGTATAGGTACAATTTTTCAATGTGGGAATTCACTAACAAGGCACAGTTGACTATAACTCCTGGATCGAATCCGACAAAGCATTGAAATTGGCATCTACATTGGACAAGGACACTATTCTTGCTGAAGGCTACAAAGAGTATGATACCGGCCGCACCTATATGGCAAAGATGGGAGATTGGCGTCTTAACAAGGATGAGGAGCTGAAACTCGATGGTATTGGAGGAGTCAACATTGTCGTCAAGGCAGATGTCCACAGATCAGGTACGTTTTAACCCCTAATTCTGAAGTTGCACCTGGGGCTAACAGCGTCCCAGGCATTAACTTCCCTTGCTATGCATTTGAAAACCAAGCAGAGACCGAAGGATTCGCCAAAATGGCGAAGAGAGCAGGCTACGAGGTCGTGGGTCTACCAAACTACGTAGTATGGCACATAGATACGGATGAGAAGCCCGGCAACGCGTAATGAGATTTCCTTGCTCATAGCACCGAGATCAATCAGATCCCCGCGACATGTTTTTGACGCATATATGGACCAGAGTTCAGCCGGTCCACTCTTGGAACCGGGGAAGGGATATAAATCGACGAGAGAGGAAAGGGCTGGCAATACCAGGATTCGATGATTCTCCGTACCGGTACACATCCCATTTTATTCAGGAGTTTTTGATGGGCGGGGCTTCTGCTATGGAAAGGGGCAAACCGGAAACATCGCTGGGAAAGCGGGCAGTCAGCACCACGTTGGTACTAGAATAATTGATTTTTCTGTTTTCTCTTTACAGTTGCCGGAAGGGCGACAGTTGGCTCTGAGGTGCCGAGGAAGTGGGAAGACTTTTCTGTATGGATAAGGGTCGGTTGGGAAGTCATCTGCACCACGTGGTATAACATGGAATGGAGAAAGGATTGCAAAGTGCTAAGTCTTCACTTGAGTTTCAAGTGTGGGTGAAATTACTTGCTAGTGACAGCTCGAAGGTTTCCCACAGAAAGAGGTCCAGAACAGTCTTCTAATGTCCCTCTTTGATGCAAATGAGATCTCGAACCGGGCCCACAGTTCCACAGCAAGATTGTACATATCAATATACCTTCCACCGGCTCGACTCACGAAGGCAGAGCCTACCCATCACAACACAAAGCACATACCACCCACGTATTCAGGGTTTCATGATGCTTCTTCATTTCCACTGATATACAGATTAAGCCCAGTCGATGGCTTCCCCTGCTCTACTGCCGCCCAATTCATTGTACACAATCTTGCCCTCTCTTCTATCTCCTACTTCTTCTTGGTGATGGACAGCGTCTCCAAATCCGCGCGCTCCTGTAGCTCTGCCTCGATTTCCTTGATGATGGGTGACAAATATTGGACGTCCTAAAGCAAATCTGTCAGTACCCGACTGATGGCTGGAGACCGGGTCTTGACGCCTACCTCCTCAGGCTTAGTATGTTGAGCCGCAGGGAGAAGTTGGTGAGCGAGCGAGGCTTGGAATGCACGACGCAAGCGGAAAACGCGGTCGTAGGCTTCCTTCTGCGGAAGGCGCTTGAGGGCGAGGAGAACAGTCTCGGACTCTTCGGGGATCAAATCATCGGCTCTGCAGGATTGACAGAAACATCAGCACATGTTCCGTATCTCCACAAGTATAACCTCTCCAGTACTGGCTCCCTGTACGCGATACACTGTGGCCCAGCCTCCTCCTCAATCGATTCCATGAATCCGGAAGGGGCGTGGCGTTCGTTACCTCAAACCGAGCTTCCTGTATCCAGCGGCGTTGCAGTACCAATTGGACAGCGGCATCATCATACGCTTGAGCCATGGCCGCTTGACTATGAATTTTGCGAGGGAGGGTTGAGACATGGTGCTGATGGGGAGGTGAGGATTGAAATAGAGCTCTTGAGGCGTGGTTTGGGATCATTCGAGACGACGACGACGGGTCCAAGTCGGCCCGCAATGTCTTCGTTGGAATGAGGCGCACTTGATTGGCTCATGGAGAAAGTCAGGTGACGTACAAGGGTAGCCACTAATCAGCAAGGACTAGGGACGAACTGAGAGGCCTCAGGCCGTAGATCATGCCCCACCCAAGGAGGTCGCTCTCAACTTTCAAAAGGTTGTAGCTCCGATTTCAGGTCTCCACTTCTATCAAATCCCAACCAAGCGGCCTTACCGACCTCCGAACTCGGTATCAACACTTGCAAAACACACACGCTCGTCTCCCTTCTTCGCCCTCCACTACCCTCTATCTCACCACCATCGAATACTCGGGTCAGTCGTCAATGGCCTTGGACAATCGTTAGCTGTGTCTTTGGCGTGCTGCGTGGGATCTTTCCCCGCACACCGTGACACGAGATTGGAATAAGCATTCACCCATCGCGAACAGCAAATCAGACCAAAATAGAGCTTGCTACTCCGCGCCGGGTGGGCGAGACAGCCAGAGCCAGCCAAGCTCACGGCCTCACTTGTTTCGCCGCCAGACGGTCTACACAATGTCGCATGAACGCAGCACGCCATCATCCCCCGGATCCGAGGAATTCGCTGCCATTGAAATTCGCAATACGATAACGCCGTTTGAGAGCTGGGCCATGAGGAGGTCGGATGATAGTCTCAAGGCTCTGGCAGGCGCTGCGGGTGGCTTCACCTCGGGCATGGTGACTTGTCCCTTGGACGTGATCAAGACGAAATTGCAGGCACAGGGAGGGTTCAGGGCGCAGGCTGCGGAAGGAGCTTCGGCGGTCAGGTATTCGGGTTTGATAGGGACGGGCAAGACGATTTGGAGTGAGGAAGGACTTCGGGGCATGTACCGAGGATTGGGACCGATCATACTGGGATATTTGCCGACTTGGGCCGTTTACTTTGTGGTTTATGGCCGATCGAAGGAGATCTTTGGTCGATATATTGGTAGAGTTCCCGTGCAGCTCCTCCCTGGAACTTCAATACTTACACTCGCCAGAAAACGCTTCCGGCATTAATTTCTGTTCTTCACTTGTGGCAGGAGGCTGCTCGACACTGGCCACCAACCCAATCTGGGTCATCAAAACGCGCTTGATGTCCCAGGTTAGCAGGAAATCGACGACCAATGGTCCGAAGCCAAACTGGCATTACAGATCTACTTGGGATGCGGCTAGAAAGATGTATGCAACCGAAGGATTGCTCTCGTTCTACTCTGGCCTCACTCCCGCACTACTTGGCCTGGCACATGTTGCTGTGCAGTTTCCCGCTTATGAGTATCTCAAGAGGGAGTTCACGGGGCAAGGAATGGGCGAGTCGGCAGAGGGGGACGACAGATCTCATTTCACGGGAACATTTTTCGCGGGCGTGTTGAGCAAAATGCTGGCCAGCTCAGCCACGTACCCCCACGAGGTTATTCGGACGAGGCTACAAACCCAACAAAGAACGATGCCTTCTACCACATCCGAATATGTAGCATTCCGAGGTGGGCTTGAGGGGTCTGGAACTCACACGCCGGCGGCATCCCACACAATCAAAGCTGGTAGGCGCTATGATGGTATCGTGCGCACGTTCAAGACGATCTTGAAGGAAGAAGGCTGGCGGGCCTTCTATGCCGGAATGGGTACTAATATGATGCGGGCAGTCCCTGCTGCAACGACGACGCTGGTCACTTACGAGTGGGCCATGAAACATTTAAATCAGGCAAGAGCCGAAGGGATACAAAAGTTGAGCGCTTGATAAGACGCAGGTCCGGAGTACGCACGAAAGAAAGATACACCATATTAGATCTTCCCTAGGAGCCATATTCGCCGACCATGTTTGGGTCCAGGCATACATTCTGTACAGATTGCAGGAACCGCTCTCTTCATGCTGGCGTTTAGTCCGGATTCTGCATTGGGACAGGCATGCATATTTTTGAGGGACAATAACGTTGGGGTTTTTTACTCATTTACTACACGTTGGAGGGCTACGCAATGGATACCTCTCGTGGATGATACCTAATCACCGTCACCGACTCCGAGTAGGGGAGGTGTTGTAGTTATATATGGAGATGTGCCTTTGAGGCTGTGACCATCTTTTCCTGTCCCTGATGGACAGGCTGTGATCCCTGCTGAAATGCCCAACGCCCGCCCAATGCAGTGCTCCATCCGCAGATGTCCACGGGTCACAGATCACACCTCGACTCTCAAAGCTCAATGTGCCGCCAACCTGTACAGCGCCTGCCCTCAACCCCCCCTCTTCCTCTCCCTGACCCTCCTCTCCGCCTCCGTCTCTCCCCCAGCTGAAGCCTCTCCCCCCTCCCCTTCCACACTCCTCGTCCCAGCCGCCCCTTTCAACGTCCCCAGCAGCTCCGCGACCGTGCTCCCCTCCCCGGGCGTCTCGATCCTGCCGTGGCGGCGCAGATTCTCATTATGCCAGTTGATCTGGCCGCCGTCGGCGTCGCGATGGCGCTGCGCATTGCGCTTCGCAGCCGCGATGGAGGTGCGCGTGTACACGAAGAGGAGCGTCGCCATGGTGAACGCTGCGAGGGGCATGGTGAGGGTCTGTGAGTTTGGCGGGAGGAAGAGGGGAGGATATTAGCTGCGATGCCGTCCTCAATGGGAGTGGGAGCTTGATGGGGTGGATTGGTGGGGGGGGGGGAAGGGGGGGGAGGTACCTTGACGTTGAATTTTGGGGTTGGTGGTGGCATTTTGGCGGTGGTTTTTGCGGAGTTGCGATGGGTGGGTGGATGGATGGAGATGGAAAGGATTGACGGGTGTTTACATGGTCTTGTAGTGGTGGTAGTGGTGTGGTGGTGGTGGTGGTGGTAGTGGTCGCTGTTGTTCAGTATTCTGCTGGAGCTTGAATGTCATGCGATTACGATTGACAGGGATGTTGAAGATCCGTGTCTAGGTACCGGTAGGTACCTTCGGCAGGGGCAAGGTACCGGTATGCGATCATCACCGGGAATGGGCGCGTTCGTCCAACCTTCTTCCTTCCACGCATCTCTCCCACAACATTGGACTCGACATCAGAATTTAATCGCCACGGCTGCGATGATAACATGAGAACATAATTTGGAAACTGGTGCTCGGAAACCCCCATCATCTGCAGGGTGGACTGTGGTGTTAGGCAGGATGAAGGGTACTGGGCTCGCGACGAGGCTGGCAAGGAGCGGTGGCAAAGGATTGGGCTCTTGGACTTGGACGTGTAGGAGCTGTCTGCCGCAGACAAGGCCGAATATAGGGGGGCATGTGAGGGGATATGCTACGAGGAACTCGGGGAAGGCATACGGGAATGGAGCGCGGCCAAAGAGGAAGGGAAGGGTGTTGGCTGCTTCGGCCGTCGGAGGAGTAGGGGTAGGAGCGTCGGTGCTGGCGTTTGGGGACGGCGTGCAGCATGCGTATGAGGCGGTCGAGAGGTCGGGGAGGGTGGTTAGCGTGCTGGCTGTGTGTATCAATGAGTAGGTATGCCCGCAGGGTATGGGGGGCATGGGCTAATGAGGGTAGTTACCGCGTTACTTTGAATCAGAACGAGAAGACGGACAATGAAGAGGAGAATAATTTCAGATTGAAGGCGTGCCACCAGAGGTGTGCGGATCGCACGTTGAGGGTGCTGGAGAAGAATGGGAGTATTTTCATCAAGTTGGGACAGCATCTAGTAGGTGATTTAGGAACACGGAAAAGGAAAAAGTGCTAATGGATGCAGAGTGCTATGAACTACCTATTACCCATCGAGTGGACGGCGACTTTTATACCGTTGCAAGATAAATGTCCTGTCTCGTCGTTCGAATCGATAGAAGCCATGTTCGAGAAAGACACAGGGGAAAAGCTTTCGGATTACTTCTCCGAGTTCAATCCGAAACCTATAGGAGCCGCGTCTTTGGCCCAAGTACATCTGGCGACGGTGAAAGAGACGGGACAAAAAGTTGCAGTGAAGGTCCAGCATCCAGCACTAGCCGAATGGGCAAATCTGGACTTGGCTCTCACGCGATTTACCTTCTCAACGTTGAAGAGATTCTTCCCCGAATATGACCTCGAATGGCTCTCTTTAGAAATGGAGATCTCTCTTCCACAAGAACTAGATTTCCAGCTAGAAGGCCAAAACGCCCTCCGAACTAAAGAGTACTTCTCTCACAAACCCGAGCTGCCTCTCGTCATTCCCAACGTCCTCTGGAGCAAGAAGCGAATCCTAGTCATGGAGAACGTCTCCGGGCACCGCCCTGACGACCTCGAATTCCTCGACGCGAACGGAATCGACAGAGATGAAGTCTCGGCGGCCCTCGCCCGCATCTTTAACGAGATGATATTCGGCACAAACGCCCCCCTACACTGCGATCCTCACGGGGGTAACATTGCCATCCGCAAGAACACATCGAGGCGTGGTGCGAACTTCGACATCATCCTCTACGACCACGGCCTGTACCGTGATATCCCCATGAATCTCCGCCGCTCGTATGCGAAGTTATGGCTGGCGGTAATAGATGCAGATGAGACTAGGATGCGCAAGTACGCGAAGGAAGTGGCTGGGATCACTGATGAGCAATTTCCGCTCTTTGCGTCGGCTATCACGGGGCGTGATTACCGCGTGCTGACGAAAGATGTGTCCATGGCGCGGACTGCCGAGGAGAAGAAGAGCATCAACGACGCGCTTGGGGAGGGGATGTTGCAGCAGCTGGTGCAGATGCTTGGGCAAGTGCCACGGATCATCCTCCTCATCTTGAAGACGAACGACTTGACGCGAAGTCTAGACGAAAACCTGCAAACGAGACAGGGGCCTGTGAGGACGTTTTTGATCCTGGCGAGGTATTGCTCGAAAACGGTGTTTGAGGAGCAGCTGGAGATCTTGATGGGGAGGGGGAGTCTGTTCTGGCCTGGGAATCTGTGGGGGTTGGTGAGGGCCTGGGCGGGGCATTTTCGGGTCGAGATGAAGCTGGGGGCTTTCGAGGCGTGGCTGGCTTTCAAGAGGGGATTGAGCGCTGTCGTTGGGTAGAGAGATGCTGGGTGCAGGACGAACGTTTGTACATACATAGCGGGTAGCTTGAGGGATGGGGGTAGATAAATAGATAGATAGACGCGCACGGCGGTGCTCTCCTCGTTGAGTGGGCTACGAAGTAGTTGAAAAACATACCCGATATCCGAACCAACATACACACACGTCTTCTCATGCAGGCTTCACACACGTATCTTTCACCTCCCCTCCACCTAAAGTGCAGCGTACTACTCGCTGTGTTCGCGCGAATTCTCTTGGGTCTTTCTCCTTTTCTTTGCTCGGTGCGGTTTCTTTTGGTTTTTTTTTTTTTTTNTTTTTTTTTTTTTTTTTT